TATAATTATTTTTTTTGATCAATTATGACTCTAAGAAATCTATTTTTTTTTCATTCTTTCAAAATCAATAAGGTTTCTTATGTTTACTTCATCTGATTATTCAGAGCTTCAAACAGTTTTTTCTTTAGTTTTATGAAATCTGATTATAATTTGAACAACTTTATTATTTGACTAATTTCTTGTTTACGTTGTTTCAGTGGAAGCATATTTTTCCTTGGCCTATTTGTAAGATAAAATATATTGAGTGTGCCTTTTATTTGCCTAAATAGGGGCGATTGTTTAGAAGTCTTGTACCAGTCTGTAGGCTGGAGTTATGGAGTTAATATTGGGGATGACAGAAAGCAGTTTCCTCCCTACTCTAGAGAAGGGTGAAGGGAGGGTCATGAGAGATAAGAATGAGTTCACACAGCCTCCTTCATGTCGTAAACGGGAGTGTTTATTTGGCTAAAATGTATGTCCTTGATGAAAGTTCTTTATGTAGGGGTGGGATAGTTCCAAGGTAGAGTTTGTGTATTGGGAGCTGGTGTATGAATGTATGTATCGAGCTTTGCCGAGTCAGAGCTCTATCTCTTCATCTGAGGATGTTAAATAAGTTTGAACATTCTCTTGCAAAAGCCTCTGCTTCCTCCTCAACTCCACATTTCTTAATTCTTTTACTGTAGGTTGTGACTCGTGTAAAATAAATTAGCATAATCAGCAAACAATACTCCTCTAAAGTCATTAGTATAGAACATAAACAATAAGCCACTTACTGTAAAGGGTTTTCTGGTAAAAAGTCACCAGAGACACTAGACTGTTGTTTAAGTGTCTCTTTATTCCTGTCCTTGCAGTCTGAGCTTTCAGCTCAGTTCATTTATTTCTGTTCTTTGTGTGTAAAAAAAGAGGTTTTTGAGGCATTTAAAGTAATTAGATTGATCAACTTTTGATCAACCACTTATAATCAGAGCACTCATAATGTTAAAGTGTCAGAGCCGAAAGCAGCTATAGGGAAGAATAACTGTCAATAACATATATATGTGTCTATATTTGTAAATAAATGTCAAAATAAATGTATTTTCTTTCTTGTTTTCAGCTCATGTGACACTGAATATTTAATCTGTAAGAATATAGGTTCAAAAGTTATAAAGTTTTTCTTAAATAAAAGTATAAATCAAAAACAAATTCAAAGAGTAAAACTTGTAATAATAGTATTTGAGAAAACAGCAAAGTTACTCTCATCTCCTTTAAGAAGTTTCTTGTGTAGATTGCTTTGTTTTTAAATACCATTTGAAAAATGAAACAAGGTTCACCCCATAAAATAGAATAAAATGAAACAAGCATGTTATTTAACTAAGGTAGAAACTGTGCAAAATCAGCATGAATGTAACAACTTATTGAGGTTGTTGGGAACGGTGGTGGTTAAAAGCAAAAGTTTGCTTGTTATTCAGTGAAATTACTCCAAGTAAATGTTTTTCTATTTTATCAAGTTATTTCCCAGGTAAAAGTAGAAGTAAAGTGCATTAAAACTTCTCCAAAATGTACATTTTTGTCAAACAGTAACAGGTACAGTAAACAAAAAAACTTTAACATTAGCCATCTCCATCAACAGGCCGATCAGAAACGTTGGAACAGAGGAGGTCTGCTTCCTGATCCAGGTTCCACGGCTGCAACAAGCTGCTCTTCATGCAAACTGCTGCTCTCTGCAGCTTCAAATGATCCTAACTGTTTCAGAGTCATTACTTAATCATATCCCATTGATTCTAAACACTGCATGGGAAACATTCCGGATTCGGTTGTTGCCCTGAAGGTGAGGGGGATGAGTGAAAGTAGGTCAGCCCGAGTCTTTTGGGAAACAAGCAGAGGCAGAAACATCTCATTTGGCTCGGAGCGTAAAAAGTAAAGCAGCGCAGAAACTCACAGTGTATTTACTTTGTGACTGGAGGT